AGAGGATAAAAAAGAACAATAAATACAGAAAGACTAAAAAAGCACCCTAAGGAAAAGCGAAACTAAAAAGATGCGTTTTAAGATCTCTTAAATATGTCCACAGTTTTGGCCCTCAGGTTGCCATGGCAGACACATGGAGGCCCGCATAGAGGTGGGAAGGAAGGAATGGCACATTCTGTTTGTCACTGCAGTGCCTCAGTTGCTTGCTGGCAATCAGTCAAGTGCTGAGCAACAGGTACTGTATGTGAGCACCTTGGCTTGTAGGAACCTGTAGGCTACAGAGCGTCATTGACAGAGATTTCATTCTTACTCAATTTAGTCAGGGTCACACGATTGCAGAAGGACGTTGCAAATTCAGTCACAAAAGTGCAATAAAGCTTAGCCTAAACTGAGGTCCACACTTTGAATGACATGTAGTAGAGAGTTGTTATGGAATTACTAGGCTAAAGCTTAGCCTAAACTGAGGTCCACACTTTGAATGACATGTAGTAGAGAGTTGTTATGGAATTACTAGGCTAAAGCTTAGCCTAAACTGAGGTCCACACTTTGAATGACATGTAGTAGAGAGTTGTTATGGAATTACTAGGCTACTACAAGTGTTCTCTCCGCATGTTTCTTTTTTAGTTCCATTACCACATGAAAAATATTATTTTCCAGTGGAGAATATGGCATTATTAGTGAAAAACAACAAGGTAATTTTCTAGTTTAAAAAAAAAATAAGTTATAGTATGAGTGGTGGTTGTTTCATTTGATAGTATATTGTTGGACTTGATCTTAAGACTTTCTTGCTGGGAAAGCGAGAAAGATATTTCAAAATAACAACGCTGGTTTTGCCTGCCAATAGACTACCTGAATGTTGACACACCCAAGGCCTACAGGAGAACCCATCCCTCACATTATAAGGGGCCTAGAGGGGGCGGGGGAAGTATTACCTTCCAACTTTTGCATCGTAGCCTATGGCTTTATTATAGAAGTAGGTCAACATTTGATCACTCAACACGTCTGAAAACAAAGCATTTCACTCTCAATAAGAGACCCTTATGTTGCGCAGTAAAAAACAATCATGCAGACACCGGGCTCTTGCAATATATTCACGCAAATCATTGCGATTTGAATGTTTGAAATATTGTATATCGTTCAACTGCATCATAAAGTAACATTTTATCCGAGTTCATTAATACAAAGTTAAAGCGCATAGAATCCTAACAAAAACTTGCTTTAGTTCCCTAACCAGAATAGACGCAGGCAGTGCTGTAATACTTACCAGCTGTTTACAACACTACAAGAGACAACGTTGACATGTAGGCAATTTGCAGCTTTCACCCGCTCGGCCTATTCCGTTCGAGTTTTAGATTACAAAACCACCACTGAAGGCACAAAGTGGCCCACTTCGATAATCCTTGGAAACTTTGTGTCACACTTGTTCGCTGAGGTATGGCTTGTTCACGACACTCTTATCGGTAGCTGTCGGTGCAAGCAGTGGCCATGTTTGTGTTTGGTCAGATACTTTGGTGAGCAAGTCTTGGGTTTTTTACACCGCTGCATGAGGCAGAATGGAACCTCCCAGAGGATAGTGACTGGCACTCAGATGACGAGCCCTCTCCGCCTTTTCTAACCGCCTCTTAAAGCCAGTTTATGCTTGATCTGAAAATGTGGTCAGAGGGTTCGAATGGCGGATGTGACGCAATTTCGGAGCCTCCATAGGCACGCATAGGCCAAATCAAGCTCTGTACGGGATCGTGGTGCGCCTATCAAATTTTGTAACAATGCGGAGGTCTCCGTATAGCTACATTGACATGATTGGTTGACGGTAGGTGGGGGCGGGAGGTCCTATATAAACAAAAACTCACTTCCTTGACAACAGCTCTGCTCCACGAAGCAAAAAGTATGTTTGCTCGGACTTCTGCGGTATGGAGGACTAAAAGTGCCACAATTAAATAAATAAATACACCATTAAATAATTACTTAAATGTGTCATTAATTAATTCAAATTAGAATTAAATACATAAATGTGTAATTAAATGTATCATTAATTAATTCAAATACCGATTCATTTTATGTAAAATACATATATAATTATTTCACTATTTACATTTACATTTCATGATCCTGCATTGCAGTGATTCATGAATTACTTAAAACTGTCAAACTGACCCATCAAAGTCAGTGGGCGGGGCTAACGCGAATCTAGTCTGATCCATTGCTTTGGTCTGAAGTAGAGTAGGCCAACCTGGATAGAGACAATGGAGGATCTCCGTGAACTTTCCAGGGAGTTGGTTAGAGACATTTTAAACTTAGCAGAGGATGTAGAAGCAGGACCTGCTGACATTAGCCGGAATTGATTTGTCTTGGCTTGATGCAGAGGGTAACCAATCAGGCGTTAGGTTCCGCCTACCAACTTTTGATGGGTCAGTTTGACAGTTTTAAGTAATTCAGGAAGCACTCCAACGCAGGACCATGAAATGTAAATGTAAATAGTGAAATTATTATATATGTATTTTACATAAAATGAATCGGTATTTGAATTAATTAATGACACATTTAAAAACACATTTATGTATTTAATTCTAATTTTAATTAATTAATGACACATTTAAGTAATTATTTAATGGTGTATTTATTTATTTAATTGTGGCACTTTTAGTCCTCCATACTGCGGAGGCGCATTGCAGTAAATGCTGTATGGTCACTGCAGAGAGCCGATTGACCATGTAAAGCCTATGCCCCCCCCGAAACGCAATGCATGATGTCTAGACACTAGTATATTGTAGGCTGCAAATTCAACAGGTGTTATAGAGTGCTATAGTATTTTACATTTGTTTCATTTAGTGACAAGATATTTTATCTACAAGCTCCCATAGTCAGTTTGTGTGTTTTATAGTGTTGGTGAACTAAATTATATGGAGAGGGAGTACAAACCAACGACGCTAGACAGAGAGGAATTTGCTTAAGCAAAAGGCAGTTTATTAAACACAGAGATATCTTGTACTGTTTTAAGCTACATGCATGGACCCAATCAATTGCCTCTTATGGAGACAGTTGAGAAGGATGTTTAAACAGAGTTTACAGCATTACTTTATACAATGTAACATAAAGGAAGGGGTCCTTCTTCTAGTCCCTTGATTGGTTCCTGAGGCGTAGGAGGCGGGTCTGCTCTGTCCAGAGCAGATGCCCCATTGGTGCACGGCAGAGTCCTCTGCCCTTGGCACCCGACCAGTAGACAGGGGAGTGGAGTTTGAGTGTGCGTGCACAGTGAAATGTCTGTGTGTGTCCAGGGAACTCGTGAGGAGTTGAGAATTAGTGTGCGTGAAAGTGAAATATTGGTGTGTGTCAAGGGAACTCGTGAGAAGTTGGTACTGGTGATTGTGGCCGGAGGTGGGGGTGTTGTCCTGTTATCGCACTCCTGCAAGACTAGGCCATCTGGTGACAAGATATGGTGTTCTCCTCTGTCCTTTGTTCTCTGACCTGGAACAGCATTTATTGAAAACAAGCTCCTAACACAAATGGGTCTTGCACAACATTTTAGTCAGACCAATCTATAACATTTTATATTTACTACGACAAATTATATTTACTACGACAATAGCCAATACTAAGTCTACTGCATAAATAAGCAATTCTTCAAAAATCGAGTAGGCGCATATTTCATTAATTGAAAAGTCCAATGAGAATCCGAAAATTGTGTAGTTCACCCCTTTAATCCAAACATAATCCACTGATTATTCTGGATAATGTATAGTTTCCCATGACTAAATGTTCTTACTGGTGAGACCCTTAAGAAGCTGAAATATTTCACTTTTATACATTCCCCAATCCCTAGAAAAATGGGTCTGAATTACACTGAACAAACATAAAATCAGAAAATGTAAAGTGTTGGTCCCATGTTTCATGAGTTGAAAAAAATCTCAGAAATGTTCCATATTTACAAAAAGCTTATTTCTCTCGAATTTTGGGCACAAATTTGTTTACATCCCTGTTGGTGAGCGATTCTACTTTGCCAAGATAATCCATCCAATTGACAGGTGTGGCATATCAAGAAGCTGATTAAACAGCATGATCATTACACAGGTGCACCTTGTGCTGGGGACAATAAAAGGCCACTAAAATGTGCAGTTGTTGTCATACAATGCCACAGATGTCTCAGGTTTTGAGGGAGCGTGCAATTGGCAAGCTGACTGCCAGAATGGCCACCAGAGCTGTTGACAGAGAATTGAATGTTCATTTCTCTAACATAAACCGTTGTTTTAGAGAATATGGCAGTACCTCCAACCGGCCTCACAACCGCAGACCACGTGTAACCACGCCAGCCCAGGACCTCCACATCCAGCTTCTTCACCAGAAACCGTCTCAGGGAAGCTCATCTGCGCAGTCGTCGTCCTTGCCAGGGTTTTGACCGGACTGCAGTTTCGCCACACAACCGATTCAGTGGGCAAATGCTCACCCAGTGGTGGAAAAAGTATCCAAATTGTCATTATAAAAGTAAAGATACCTCAATAGAAAATTACTCAAGTGAAAGTCACCCAGTAAAATACAAGTAAAAGTCTAAAAGTATTTGGTTTTAAATATACATCAGTATCAAAAGTAAATGTAATTGCTAAAATATATTTAAGTATCAAAAAATAATTCATTATGAACTGTAACTCAGTAAAATCTTTGAAATTGTTGCATTTGTTGTTCAGTGTAGTTTGAATGATTGAACCCCCAATAACCCCACGCAAGTGTAAACAAGGCCAGGAAATTAATCTGCAAAAGGTATTAACCCTGATTGACATTGATAACAATTTAATCCATTTAACAATATACAATTCATGTTTGTTTATTATCACCCATCATATTTCACTTTAGACAAAAAAAAAACTATTCAAAACATCAATGTAAGTTTCTGTAGGAAAAACAGATTGGCACACAAATATTAGAATTGCAAGTGTATTGAAATTAGTTAGCCTTAATTGTGAAAAAGTAAGAAACTAGAAGACTGCGCAAAAAATACTTTTTAAAAAAGACACTACAGGTCGTCTATGGGGGAGAATGTGAACAATTGCGGGAGGTTATACTGCCCTTTCCTTGGCGGCGAGGGGCTCTCTAGAGTGTCCAGATCCAGGGAAAAGACATTGTCCGTCACTTCCACTGTGGCTGCTGTCTCCAGTGTTGCTGCCATCAGCCAGTCACTGGCGTCCAGGCTCCTCTCGCCATGCTGTGGGAGAGAGGGCTCTGGTGCCCCCTGGCGGCAGTCCATGAAGGAGGCCTCTCCAAAGGCCTGCTGGATCTTTTCCAAACGCCTGCGTGCGTCCAGCAGGGCTGGCTCAGTCTCAGTGGGGGGGGTGTGGGGGAGGAGCAGCTCTTCCTCCTCGGTGTTGGACGTGTCCCTGGAGTTACTGGAGCTCAGGACACTGCTGTCATTGCCCGGCAGCTCGGGGAGTGTCTCCTGATCTATACTGAACTGCTCGGGGAAGACCTCTTGGTCGATGCTGAACTGGACCACGTCGCTGCTGCTCAGGCTATTGAGGGCCTCCATGTTGGAGGAGTCCCAGGACAGGGTGGACATGAGGGAAGCCTGCTGGGGGGCTGCAGTACTACAACCGTTTGTGGGATCCAAGCTTGTGCTCAGGGAGGGAAAATCGTGGCTAAGGGAGGCCTCCTGTACGTCGCTGAGGGGCATGAGGCAACCGAGGATGTCGTCGCAGTCAAACGTAGCAGACAGGAAGGCCTTCTGAGCCTCTCCTTCCTCCACCGCACTTCGCCAGGAACTCTTCACATCCAGAACTGATCAAAAAATAAAAATTACTCCTCTGGCCAACAAAAAGCAAAACTGGAGAAAAGAGCATTCTGCCTTTCAAAGTACATCAAACAAGGTCCAATACTCACTCAAACTCTCTGGGGTGCGTGGAATCTGCTTCCTGGTGGAGAAAGGGTCTGTGCCAAGAGTGTCGAGTAGGTCTCCCAGCTCGAGTCCCCGTAAACTTCTGTTGCCAGGGCTGGTGGTCACAGCCTCTGCAAACTAAAAATGCACACAAACCAAACAGTAAGTTATGCTCCATGCATGCATTGCATGTTAAGCAACATGGTACAGACTACATACCAGTCATATGCAGATCAGGGGTTGGAAAATAACTCCTATTTATTTAGTTCCGTTCCAGTGTTCCGACCAGCATTAGAAAGTTCTGAACCGGTTCGAACCAAAAAAAGTAATGGTTCAAATAGTTATTTTCTACCCTTTGAAATCAACAGTTTTTACATTTAGCCAAATCATTTACTCCACCAATTAGTGTAGATAGAGCACCTTGCTATGGAACATGTAAGCTAATGGTTTACATGTTTGATGGACAGTTAAGTGCAGGCGCGAGACGAGATCGATTTGACGGGTGGGGAGAGCAAGAAAGAGGGGTGGACATGGAGGGGGCTGGAAGCGCTGAGAATCATAACATGTGAATTTGAATTGTTTAGGCTATTATTAGCATCGTAACTTCACTTAATTATATACAAGACATTAGGAATATTGTTTGAACAAAAATAACATTAACTGGTTCTCAAGATTTGAAGGTAACGGTTCTGTTCCGGAACACTCGAGATCACTTTCGTTCCCAGTTCTGTTTCCGGTCCTCAAAATTTCTCTCCTCTGTTCCCTGAGCCGGTTCCAACCCCTGATGCAGGTAAGGGCTGTCTGCTCCGTATCTGTCCGTTGCGATTTCACTCAACTCGCCCCGGTCATCAGAGAGCAGGTATGCTATAGGGAGCGCTAGTGACGGTCAGAGCACAGCTCAGGACTGACCAGGTATCTGCCTCCCGCCAACCCCCCCCCCCCCCCCACGTATGGAAACGGTACCTGATTTGCCAAGTTGTCAAACTCAGAGTCGAGGATCTGAGCCTTTTTCTTCACTGAAGACACCTTTGGAGACGCACGAGGAGTCTTCCTTACAATGGCCTATAAGAAAACAGAATGGTCACATAGGTGATTAAACATATACAGTGAGGGGAAAAAAGTATTTGATCCCCTGCTGATTTTGTACATTTGTCCACTGACAAAGAAATGATCAGTCTATAATTTTAAAATGGTAGGTTTATTTGAACAGTGAGACAGAATAACAACAACAAAAATCCAGAAGAACGCATGTCAAAAATGTTATAAATTGATTTGCATTTTAATGAAGGAAATAAGTATTTGACCCCTCTGCAAAACATGACTTAGTACTTGGTGGCAAAACCCTTGTTGGCAATCACAGAGGTCAGACGTTTCTTGTAGTTGGTCACCAGGTTTGCACACATCTCAGGAGGGATTTTGTCCCACTCCTCTTTGCAGATCTTCTCCAAGTCATTAAGGTTGAGGCTGACGTTTGGCAACTCGAACCTTCAGCTCCCTCCACAGATTTTCTATGGGATTAAGGTCTGGAGACTGGCTAGGCCACTCCAGGACCTTAATGTGCTTCTTCTTGAGCCACTCCTTTTGTTGCCTTGGCCGTGTGTTTTGGGTCATTGTCATGCTGGAATACCCATCCACGACCCATTTTCAATGCCCTGGCTGAGGGAAGGAGGTTCTCACCCAAGATTTGACGGTACATGGCCCCGTCCATCGTCCCTTTGATGCAGTGAAGTTGTCCTGTCCCCTTAACAAAAAAACACCCCCAAAGCATAATGTTTCCACCTCCATGTTTGACAGTGGGGATGGTGTTCTTGGGGTCATAGGCAGCATTCCTCCTCCTCCAAACACAGCGAGTTGAGTTGATGCCAAAGAGCTCCATTTTGGTCTCATCCGACTACAACACGTTCACCCAGTTCTCCTCTGAATCATTCAGAAGTTCATTGGCAAACTTCAGACGGGCATGTATATGTGCTTTCTTGAGCAGGGGGACCTTGCGGGCGCTGCAGGATTTCAGTCCTTCACGGCGTGGTGTGTTACCAATTGTTTTCTTGGTGACTATGGTCCCAGCTGCCTTGAGATCATTGACATTGACAAGATCCTCCCGTGTAGTTCTGGGCTGATTCCTCACCGTTCTCATGATTATTGCAACTCCACAAGGTGAGATCTTGCATGGAGCCCCAGGCAGAGGGAGATTGACAGTTATTTTGTGTTTCTTCCATTTGCGAATAATCGCACCAACTGTTGTCACCTTCTCACCAAGCTGCTTGGCGATGGTCTTGTAGCACATTCCAGCCTTGTGTAGGTCTACAATCTTGTCCCTGACATCCTTGGAGAGCTCTTTGGTCTTGGCCATGGTGGAGAGTTTGGAATCTGATTGATTGATTGCTTCTGAGAACAGGTGTCTTTTATACAGGTAACAAACAGATTAGGAGCACTCCCTTTGAGAGTGCGCTCCTAATCTCAGCTCGTTACCTGTATAAAAGACACCTGGGAGCCATAAATCTTTCTGATTGAGAGGGCGTCAAATACTTATTTCCCTCATTAAAATGCAAATCAATTTATAAAATTTTTGACACGCGTTTTTCTGGATTTTTTTGTTATTCCGTCTCTCACTGTTCAAATAAACCTACCATTAAAATTATAGACTGATCATTTCTTTGTCAGTGGGCAAACGTACAAAATCAGCAGGGGATCAAATACTTTTTTTCCCTCACTGTACATAAATTAGGGACATTTTGGTATGCAGGAGCGGCTGAAAGGCCAAAAGTCTTTAAATCTGAGAAGCAGATTTATAATATTGAATTAGCTAAAACAATTAGCCTTTAAAAAATGTATTTAAAAAAAGCTGAATAGGATGCATGTTGCACATCACCTACCGGCAGGGGGCTTGGTGAGGGAGCCATGGCAGGTAAAGCCATTGGAGTTTCACAGAGTGCATGGAGGGGAGTCAGTGGGGAAAAGTCCACACCAGGAAGACATGCAACCCTCTCAACAGCTGGAGGGCAAAGGCTGTTCAAAAAAGAGACCTGTTATAAAGACATCTTCTGTGGATCAAATGTTGGAGCTATGGTTAGAAAAAAACAAGACTGAATAACGGTTGTCTGCTCCGTATCTGTCCGTTGCGATTTCACTCAACTCGCCCCGGTCATCAGAGAGCAGGTATGCTATAGGGAGGGCTAGTGACGGACAGAGCACAGCTCAGGACTGACCAGGTATCTGCCTCCCAACAACACAGAGGAATCAGACTACAAGTTGCCCATTAGCAATGAATACAAGTCAAGCAGAGTATTAATATACCTTTTGAGGGCATAATCCATTATGGTTACAGTCTCCTTTGGAACAGAGTCAGTCGCCACAGGCTTCTCTTCAGGAAATTCTAAGTTATGAAAACACCACAAGTTAAAATATTCAGTTAAACAATAAAGCAATTTAGAAGTGGTAATGTTTTGTTTCGCTTTACTGACCGGGTAGCTTGGCCGGATACTGAGAGAAAATGCTAGATTTGAAGCTGGCTTCGGTGGCCGGCTCAAAGGACAGAGGAGCCATTGGGAACAGAAAGTCAAGGGCCTATAAGGAGACAGAGTACAGCCCTCAGTCCGAGTTGAATAGCCCTGGCCTAGGGAGTAGCGGCTGTATCTGGACAGAGTTGTTTAATACATCCAGGTCACAAACTGTAAAAGGCACTTACAGGATCCTCGTTGAGAAACGCGGTCAGCGGCATGCGTTTCAGACAGTCCGCCCATTTCCGGTCCCACTCCGCCTCCAACTTTCTGATGACGGTCTTCACCTCGGGAATTTCTTCCTTTGAAATCCTCTTCCTGGAAAAAGAGAGCGACAGTCGGATGCAGAGATGCCAGAGAGAACAGAGCTTGACAGTTATAAATAGGTATTACTACTGCTCAATATGGATTTAAAATTGCTGTTGCCCTGTCTTCTGTTAAAATAAAATGAATTACAAACATGTTAAATGCTGCTATGCAACTCAAACAGTAATACATCAAATGGGTAGCAGTTCCCCAACAAGCAAGCCTCTGCGATAACAGTTTGTAGCCCACCTCATGAGTCGGAGGTCCTCCAGGGCGCGTGCCATCTGTAGGTTCCTCTCCTGCAGGTGCAAGGGGTGGAGCTGGGCAATGGGGGTGTCTCCTGCCACCCGGCACCTCTCCTCCCCCAGGAGGCCCAGAGCCTGACGGAGCAGCTCCAGCATACGGAGGATGTTCAGCTGGCCTGCCTCGTAAACACTGCCCACACTCGACTGGAGCACACACAGAACTTACTTAGTGATAAACAGAGCAGTACCCACATTACTCCCAGCAAGTTCCACTTATTTTATGCATTTCAAGTACTAGCATACCTGATTCAATCTGTTAACTAATCACCATTCCTTAGTTTCATCTGTTGTGCTAGTTCTGGAACATATCAAACATGTGGAACAGCTGGGGGTACTTGAGGAGAGGTTTGAGAAACATTGCACTGAAATATGGATTGGGTTCCAAACGCACCGTCACCCGCTAAGCTAAAAAGGCAATGATGTAATTTTTGTGCATCTCACCAGGTGGGATAACTGCTCTAGTCGCTCCAGCAGAACCCGGGGGATTTTAAGGGAAAGGTCCGTCCCGTCCAGGGTGTACTGGTCAACATCTCCCCTGATGACACACTCCACCACCCGCCGCTCCTCCTCCAGGGTGGACAACACTCCGTCCATGGACGACCACAGGGAGCGCACCTGGGGTGTGTTCAGAGGTGAAACGGTCAGACTATTGCAGATGGAAATGTTTTGAACATCCATTTCTAGTCATGTTAAACGAACTGTCATTTATTAAATGAAGGAAAACCTTCTGAATCTTCTCAGCTTGAGGGGTTCCCTCCTGGTCAACTTTCTTGTGACGCCTGCACAGGGGAAATACATCATTTTACCAGCTGCCATTGATTATTAGCACTTTTTTACCAGCTGCCATTGATTATTAGCACTTAGGAGCGTAATGTTTGATGCAAAAAAATTTAACACATCTCAACTACATACTTGTGCAAATCATCATACTTTGCGTCTTCAGCCCTCCAATCCCTCAAAGACTTCACTCGAGACCTACAAGAGAGGACAGATGTAGAATGGCAAAACTAGGCATATTTGAAAAGAAACAACAGTTGACGGGCAAAGGCAAGACATTCACCTCAGGGCAAAGGCAAGACATTCACCTCAGGGCAAAGGCAAGACATTCACCTCAGGGCAAAGGCAAGACATTCACCTCAGGGCAAAGGTAAGACATTCACCTCAGGGCAAAGGCAAGACATTCACCTCAGGGCAAAGGCAAGACATTCACCTCAGGGCAAAGGCAAGACATTCACCTCAGGGCAAAGGCAAGACATTCACCTCAGGGCAAAGGCAAGACATTCACCTCAGGGCAAAGGCAAGACATTCACCTCAGGGCAAAGGCAAGACATTCACCTCAGGGCATACAAACTCCAAACCTCTGTGACCACCTGGATTTATGAGGGCGACTTGATTACCTGCTCATCATTTGCACCTGTGCTAATTAGCCAGAATCACACGACACACCTAACCAATGAAATAATGTTTTTTATCCAACTTAAAAAGGTCTCAACAAAAATGGGACACTTTTCGAGGCATTATAAACATCCAGAAAATATTAGTTTATCTACAAACACATCCAATGCCTGTGGTTTGTGCAGTTGCCATGACTTACTGGGCTTGTCTCTGGTACTCCTGCAGCATCCGATCCTGTTCCACAGCTCCTCTCAGGAATCTGGTCTTCACCAGCTGAAACCGCTTCAGCGCCATTTCCACAGAAGAGGCAGGGGCTGCCGCGGCTTCTGGGACCCACGTGCCATCTAACACACATTGGCTGCGTTCACACAGGCAGCCCAATTCTGATATTTTTTGCACTAAATCGGTCTTTGACCAATCACATCAGACCTTTTCACATAATATATTTTTTCATAGCTCATCTGATATCAGAATTGGGCTGAACATAGTCACTAGCTAGGTTTCCATCCAATTGGCGACGGATTTATGCGAATATCCTAAAATCTGCATAAATAAAATGCCAGTTTTCCCACCAGAGATGTGTTTCCATCAAATGTACTTAATTCTGATAAAAAATAAATAAAGTATGTGCGTTATGACGTAGTGCACATAAAATAACTTTTGTGGTTAAATCCCCATGTACCAAATAAAAAAATACAAGTTAAATTGGTTTGCTTCACATTTTAAACTCTGATGGTTTTGTCACAAAAAAAATGTCCCTTATATAGCTAATGTGCCCACTCTGTTAATGCACGTGCGCTCTAGCCAAAAGCTTGCAGATACAATGCGGGTATAGCCTACATGATGAGATTATTATGGACAAAAGCGCAAGATTATTTTAATTTGTCAAACGGCAGCAAAGCATCGATGATCATGTCACCGGAATAAGACCCTCGATATTTATTGGAAAGCAGCATCAAGGTCCTCACCTTGCACTTTCCCCACCCTGTGAAGTTAATCATAACTTATTTAATCTGTAGCCTAATAAACTGCATGTCTTCCTGAGTCGTAGTGGGAGGACCACACATGTCATTGCGTGACTCCCAAGTTTACTTCAATATAAATGGTTATTATATCAATATTTGCGCATTAAAGCGTTTCCACCGCTATTTCTCGAATAATACATTTTACAGACAAAATAAAATCCCACCTTCTCTAGCATATTTGGTTTTGTCGACATTTGGAATGTTTACCTACAAAGTAGCTGTTTCCATCAGGTCTGTCGTGCCATTTTCCATCCAACATGTACTTTATGTGCATAAAAAGGTTGGATGGAAAGCTGGTTATTGACAAACAACTCCAGACAAACGCTTGTAATTCACAGGGAGACGAAAAGCTATGGAGTCTGTCTTTAAGGCTGCGTTTAGACAGGCAGCCCAACTCTGATATTTTTCCCCACTAATTGGTCTTTGACCAATCAGATCAGCTCTGAAAATGATCTGACGTGAAAAGCTCTGATGTGATTGGTCCAAATCTGCCTGTGTGAAAGCAGTCTAAGAAGTCCAAACCTTGGGCTAGTCATACTGTAAATGTGATATTTCATTTTTTTTATTTTTTTTGGTATAAATTAGCTAAAAAAATATACAAACCTGTTTTTGCTTTGTCATTATGGGGTATTGTGTTTAGATTGATGAGGGGAAAAAACGATTTAACCCATTTTAGAATACGGCTGTAACGTAACAAAAATGTGGGAAAAGGTCTTCCTACCTGTTGAAAATGTCTTCATCTCATTCAACATGACATGATTGGCTAGATGGAGCATCAGGTTGACGAACCTGGGACCACCAGGCGAGAGGAATAGAGACGCCACCACTTTGGGAACTGTGCTCCCCTGCTCATCCTGAAAGCACAGATCAAGTTCAAACGCTTTAGACCTGTTGACCAGACATACTTACAGACAGTATGCATCTGCTGCAACAAGTTGATCAAATACTGAACATCTGAAAGAAGACATGTCAAATCCTTACCATTAGATCTCGCATCCAAGCACAGGTCACCTTACGGAATTCAGCATCTGCTTTGTGGTCCAACGCTGGCCAGCAATGCCTGCATACAAGACCCAACATATTACATGATTGCAAAAAATGACAAATGTGTGAAGAGAAACAACAAGTCGGGAATCGGACCATCATCATACCTGTATGCATCGTGGAAGCGTGCGGGGTTGAGTTTTTCTAACAGGAAATGGGTAACTATGTAGAAAGCATCCTTGTTTGGTTTGTCAAACATATTGCTGTTGGTGAGAGAAAGAAACTGGTGTCAAAACAGGCTTTTGACTGACCTGAGAGAATGGAGTCGTTCTGCCTATTATTTTATTTTCATTGTCGTGCCATCACCAGTTTGTCTCACTGGATTGAAACAGGGTTGCAAGACTGATGTTGATCATGTTAACGCTAACTGTTAACTTTAGCCGTTACCACAACAATCAATACTTACGGTCCAAGAATGATGTGTTTGACATTGGCTTTGTTGGCCCCTGATGATGCTGCGACTTCGGGTTGAAATCCAAGACCCAAAAGAGACCACCACAGATATTTGCTGTTAGTTCTCTGAAGAGTCGACATTCTTCCAGCGAGCTGAACACTTTTAGATCTCAAAATGATCTAACTGCTAGCTAGCGGAAGACTGAAACATTCGATGCAGCTAAGTTAACGGTAGCTAGCTAGCTAAATTGGCTAGCTAGCTAACGTTAGTTGGGCAGAAACAGAAAGCGAACATAGCTAGCTATAGTAACTAACGTTACCGTCCTCGAATTTCAACAAAATATACAAATACAGTTGACGTAAAAATTAAAGCATGTACACCATAAATATCTAGCTATTCGACATTACGCAGGCCAACTTTGATTGTCTTCTTCAAACCGCCAAATATTTCAAGAAGAAAATAATTAGCCGGATGTTGATACGCGTACGTCCTGTGTTGCGCATAATTATGTCCCCTGCAGATCTCGGATTGATCCTTCGCTGCTAGTCGATTCAACAATAACAACCACATTTGAATTGTCATATCTTGAATTGAAATCACGACTGGTAAAATGTGTATTATTGAATTGAAATTAGACTAGTTCAACTGGGGGACTGGGAGATATTTTAAACGTCAAGCTGTCTAGATTCATCCATGTTTTGTTTGCATGTAGCATTTCTGCCGGGGTGTGTCTTTGTGAGTGATCAGTGAAATGGCTGAGCAGGGAGTTCTCCTGGACCAGGGCCAGTTCTGCTGCTCTATCTGCCTGGATTTACTGAAAGAGCCGGTCACTATCAACTGTGGACACAGTTACTGTAGCAACTGTATTGAGGACTCCTGGGATAAGGATGATACAACGGGTGTCTACAGCTGTCCCCAGTGTAGACAGACCTTCTCTCCAAGGCCTGCTCTGATGAAGAATAGCCTGCTAGCCATGGTGGTCGGGAACATGAAGAAGACAGGACTCCAGCCTACTCCTCCTGCTCTGTGCTTTGCTGGACCTGGAGATGTGGAATGTGATTTCTGCAATGGGAGAAAGCAGAAAGCTCTCAAGTCATGTATGGTGTGTCTAGCCTCTTACTGCGAGACTCATCTCCAGCCTCACTATAATGTAGCTCCGTTGATGAAGCACAAGCTGGTCAAAGCCACCACACAATTGCAGGACAATATCTGCTCTCATCATGACAAACTGATGGAGATTTTCTGCCGGACCGATCAGCAGTGTATCTGTTATCTGTGTACCATGGATGAACATAAAGGTCATGATACAGTCTCAATCACAGCAGAAAAGACTGAGAAACAGGTGAGAATCAGAGCTAATCTTAGAGTTATTGTGATCAAAACAACATGGCAAAAAAAACATCACATTTAGATAGGCATATGAGACAGTTTTGCATTATGTCACATCAAATTAAAATCAAATCAAATTGTATTTGTCACTTGCGCCGAATACAACAGGTGTAGACCTTACCGTGAAATGCTTACTTACAAGCCCTTAACCAACAATGCAGTTCCAGAAATAGAGTTAAGAAAATATTTACTAAATAATCTAAAGTAGAAAATCAAATAAAAAATCATAAAGTAACACAAGAAAATTACATAACAATAACGAGGCTATATACAGGGGGTACCAGTACTGAGTGATGTACTGGGCCGTACGCACTACCCTCTGTAGAGCCTTACATCAATACCATGTAGCTCAGTAAAGTGTTTTTTTGTTCACAGAAGCAGATAGGGACGAGTCAGCAGAAGGTCAACCAGAGAGTCCAGGAGAGGGAGAAAGAGTTGAAGGAACTGCAACAGGCTGTGGAGTCTCTCAGCGTGAGTATTGACCAGAGGAGATTAACCATGTCATCTTTGTTGCAGTCGTGTTGCGCAGATCATCAGTTCCCACACCGCCTGGAGAAGTGTTTGATATCTCAGGAACCACAATGATATGATATAGCAATCTTCTGAGGCTCCAAGTTAGAGAAAGAGAATATACCTTTTTAACATGAAGCCGTCTCTTGTCTATGTTTGTGTTATAACAGCGCTCTGCACAGGCAGCAGTGGAAGAAAGTGAGAGGATCTTTACAGAGTTGATTGACTCCATTGAGAGAAGGCGCTCTGAGATGAAGGAGCTGATCGTAGCCCAGGAGAATTCAGCTGTAAGTCAAGCTGAAGCCCTCATGGAGCGTTTGGAGCAGGAGATCGCTGAGCTGAAGAGAAGAGAGATTGAGCTGGAGAAGCTGACACACACAGAGGATCACATCCATTTCCTGGAGGTAGCTTCACTGAGTGACCATCCGTCTGTTATTGCAAAAGGAACTCATTATTCTGGGGTGGGTTTAACAAAGCCTTTGTAGCTAGCTAAAGTAGTGAGTAGTATGTTATTTCTATAGCTAGCCGACTTACATTTAAATTTTAGTCATTTAGCAGACGCTCTTATCCAGAGCGACTTACAGGAGCAATTAGGGTTAAGTGCCTTGCTCAAGGGCACATTGACAGATTTTTCACCTAGTCGGCTCGGGGATTAGAACCAGCGACCTTTCGGTTACTGGCACAACGCTCTTAACCACTAAGCTACCTGACACCCCGACTTAGACTTAGGTCTCTCGTTGAACAGCAAAGTGCTTCATTTTAGGAATTTGTTAGTTCACACATAGAAGATTGACTGTCAAACATCCATAAAATGTTTTAACAAAATCTCTCTCTGCAGAGTTATCAGTCTCTCGCCAGTCCCAGTGTATTTTCAGACTTGCCCACCATCGATGTCTGTCCTCTTCAGTACTTTGAGGATGTGAGTGAGGCTGTGTCTAACCTGAGAGAGAAACTGGAGGGCATCTTGAAGAGAGAATGGTGCAGAATTTCCACCAGAGGTAGGTTAGAAAGTAGAGTTAATTCTGCATACTTTGATGAGATTGGAGTTCTAGCCTACACTGCATTTATATGGTCTAATCATAACTCTTTCACTGTGTGTGAATGTGCGTTTCAGTGAATCTAGTGGATGTTCTACACCCACCCAAGCCCAAGACCAGAGCCGACTTCTTACAATGCAAGTCCCTTTATCCTGAAGTTGCTAACAGTCGTATTTTCAATGATACTCACCACAAACGCTGAGATAAAAGTAAAGAGGGGGACTCATATCATATCTTTATTTCTTAATTTCTCTTCCCTCAGATTCATGTCGGCTCACCCTGGACCCAAACACATTATACAGACAACTCTTTCTGTCTGAGCGGAACAGAAAGGTGAAACTGAAGCGCAAAGGCTACTCCTACCCCAGCCGTCCAGACAGATTCACTCAAATGTGTCAGGTGCTGTGCGGGGAAGGTCTGTCTGGGCGCTGTTACTGGGAGGTGGAGTGGAGTGGGTGGAAGATTTATGCAGGCGTTTCGTATAAAGACATCAGCCGATCTGGGCCTGCGGATGATTGTCAATTTGGACACAATGACAAGTCCTGGAGTTTAGAGTGCTGTAGTAATGGTTACTTTTTCCGACATAATAATGTAAAGACTGAAGTGGCACGCCCTCAGTCCTCCAGAGTAGGAGTGTACCTGGATCACCAGGCCGGCACTCTGTCCTTCTACAGTGTCTCTGACAAAATGACCCTCCTCCACAGTGTCCAGACCACATTCACTCAGCCCCTCTATCCTGGGTTCTGGCTTCATTGCTTTAAGACCACAGCTGAGTTATGTGAGTTAGACTAGAGGCCCATGTAAGTGATGCTTTAACTTACTATTTTGTGAGTTGTTTATCATATACAAACATTTCCTTCAATGAATCTCAGAGGATTGACTCTCACAAATTGAGCTCTCTGTAGTCTAGATAGAATTTGAGGTTATTTTCCCCAAATTTTAGGATGTTGAAAATGAAGTAGTTTGAGAAAAAGTTAATCTAATGTTCGTGCTAGTCAGACAATCCATATCACTAGTGAGATTTTACTTCTGACAGTATATAGTAGGGCAGGCAATACATTGTTTTCAGAATGATCTCTGAACTTGACCTGTCTGTGTGTTATTGCGTATTCTATGTCAGCAATTTTATGTAGGCTACTGTACATATGTTGCAGTGAAAGTTTTTTCCCCAGTATATTCAATGTTTATTTGTCCTAGAACTCATGTTGCATCATGTTACAGGTCCCCTCGAGGTCCACATTATACCAATAGTTTTTCAATCAACTGAAGTAAGTAGTTTACTGAGCCCTTATTTACAGTGTTCACTCAATATTGACAATGCTGAACCAAATGCAAACTGATAAATAAACAGTGTATTTGTTGAACATCTGATTGGTGAACTACTTCTTTAACCTTCAGAGCCTAATGCTCTAGTGACAATCAGTAGTTGGTGTAATATTTATATTTGAGTCATTCAGCAGATTATATGATCCAGAGCGACTTACAGTAGTGAGTGCATACATGTTCATACTGGTCCCCCGTGGGAATCAAACCCACAACCCATGCTCTACCAACTGAGCCCATCCAGTATCATATGCCATCCAGGGTTCCCACTCAAGTAGCATGAATAATCTGTTTTGAAATACATTTAACCAAGTGAGTTAAGTACAATTCGTCTTTGTAAAATAAGATAAGTAACAATTGTTACAACAAGTAACAATACTGAATTAAATATATACTATTGCATTCAATTAATTTCCATTGTATTATTTGTTAGATTACAATTTTATGGTGTTCCAAAAGCCTTTGTTGATGGCTGAGAACATCCTGACAAAGATGGAGGGTTTGTGTTTCTTCTCCTCGGGTTGAGAAGTGGAGGGACGACTCTCCTGAAGTGGAGCCATGACAGCCTTTGGCACTATGCAGGGTGCTAGAGACCGAAGGGGAAAGTTGTCAGGTACTTCAGTAGGACTACATAGATTTTATGTTTCTCACATGTTGCTAATGTTGTGGCACTGGATTGTATCTAAAAGTGATACAATTATTGATTTGCAGACTTAAGTATGCAATGCTCCTCTTCACAAGGAACCTTAATCTGGTCCTGAGCTTCCTCTGAGGGCTGTACTTCCTTTTTGTTGTTCCGTTTGAAGCACTAATTATTTCAAAATAAAATTTATATTAATCACAAATGGAATTATTAAAAAGCCATAATGTTTTGATAACAG